TATTAGAATCTCATCATATGTGTGAGATATATATATTTACTATTTTTGTGCTTGTGATATACTTTAATCGATGATCTTTTATTACATAGTTAAAAATACTTCTAGATCCTATTTTATCCTGTTTTCTATAAAATGGTATATAATTGATAATTGTGCGCGGCAAAATGGATGAAATTCTTTAACATACTTGACGTGTCCCAAACGATTCACCCAAATTTTTATGTGTTAATTTAACACAAGATTTTATAATGCAACACAGATGTATTGTGTTAAAAATTAACATAAAAAATGTAACTAATACTAAAAATGTAATTAATACTTTCACACAATTTGAAAATAAAAATTGTGAAAGTTTTTTTCTTCAGTAAAATTAATATTTATAACGTGTTAAATTAACACATACATTCATCTTTTATTCATTAGAATAAAACTTTACTTTAAAATACATTTTAAACTGTATTATAGACTTAGAATGTACGTTTTAAAACTATATTATGTTTATGTTATATAATTTTTATTTGTTTACTTACTAAAAAATATGATAACTTTAACACTAAGAAAAGTGTGTCAAACATCAAAGTAACATAAAATATTCGAATAACACAATAACATTATGTCAAATCAACACTCAGGTATATTAAAAATACAACACAAAAATTTTAACAAAAGCCGATTTTATATAATATAATACAAGTACAGAATGGTTTTTACTGTGTACACAGTTAGAAAATTTGTGTTAAATTTAACACATTTCACATGCCCCAAACAGTCCATTCAAATATCCACTTTTTATGTTAATTTAACACAAGACAAATATTATATGTTAAGAAGCAATACAAATATTACGTAAAAAAATTAACAAAAAAAAAATAGTGATACAATGATTGTAAGCAAACTGTAGAAAACATGTTTTTTTTTAAATAAAATTAGTATATACGACATGTTAAATTAACATGTAATTTATATTAAAATTTACATTTTAAAACAATTTTATGTCATTCATTCACTTACTCATAAATTGTGTTATTTTGTACTAAGAAATGCTAAGAAATGCTAAATATCAATTTGACACAAAATATTTCAACCTAATCACATGTGTCAAAAATTCAACCTAAAATTTTAACAAGGACTTGAGTGGACCGTTTTCAACACAAATATAAAATATTTTTTACTGTGTAATACACAAATTTCATACCTAAATCAGTAATATTAAAGTGTTGTGATACATTTGTGAAACTTACCTTCTATATAAGTAGTAGGACGCTGTTCCTTTCCCATTGCTACATTACTCCTTCTGACTACAGTCTCTTGAATTGCTTGAGCCTGATCCTTGGCTTGATCGTTTGCAATATGCATCTCTTCCTGCTCAATTGTTACATCCGTTTCATGATCCACATTGATGGAAGCTACCTCGGACTTGACTGAGGTACGACTTAATGTCATCGGGGAAAGTCTGCTAATGGTTAAGCTCTGGGGTGGTGTTCTGCTACGTTCAGTCATAGCACAGCACAGGGACAGTTTGGTACTAGTTTGAGATCCATGCTGCGAGCTCTCTATCTTGGAGTTCCTATGAACTGAATCCCCGTCTTTGTAGGAGGACTCCAAGCAGCCGACCTTGGTCTTTTTATTCATGAGCATGCGACAAAGGGACTTTTTCTTCTGTTTTGATTTTGGAGAAACTTCTGCCTTATTTGAAACGCTAGAGACGTTATTTCCCTCACTCTGATCCATAATATTCGCAGCATTTAACACAAGATCACCGATTATATCTTTTTATATTATCCCTCTCCGTAATCGCTAATTGAATTACATCATCAATTTTTATACATGTCTAATTATAGTTAAAAAAAATTCTTCTATCATAGTCACAGAGGATGCGTTGAAATGTATCATAGAAAAACTCTCAAAAATATTCTTTCTATATTTCAAATTATGGATAAGCTCTTAACGAATAGAAAATTATACAATTTGCACGTAATCATTTCCGTTTGTAATCATACAAAGTGAAGTACATCCAGTATACAAAAAATGTCTCACATCTTAATAGTATTCAAGCATATCGCTCATGTGTCGCTTGCACTTGATTATCAAACCATAATAATATCTAAATTCTGCGGGATCAATCGCGTAACGCGTTACAACGTGTCCCGTAAGTATTCATGAACTATAATATGCTTTTTGATATCAGTTCTGCTCCCTATTGATTCAAACGTTCAGTCATGTGGGAGGATATCCAAATTGTGATATACCGCAAATTGATATATCGCACTTGGAGTATCGACGAGTAATACTTTTGGCATTTGGACATTTGGACTAGAACAGATGACTAGAATCGAATCGGCTAAATGTGACAGCCGAACGAGACTCGAGTACGACGTACTCCATGCGGATCCGTACGTTCTCTCCATCGACGCGTCTCCCTTTTTTTCCTTCGCGAGCTACGTCGAGCAACCGCGTTGTTTTTCATTCAGCATCGTGGTCGCTTAATCAAACTTATCAAACCTCGGGCATCCTCGTCACCGCGTTTCACATTAGTCTAATTAATTGACCTGACATCCGTAACACTACCGTGTATCCTGATCTCTGTATCCTGGCGGTCCATCTCGGTCAGATAAGAGCGCTCGGAACTAACGCGCATTAATTTCTTAGCTTAGCTGACCACTGGTGCGGTTCACGAGACTCGAATCGCGAATTCGCGGCCAGACCGCGTTAACACGTCATTCACGCGCCGAAATAACAAATCGCTAAGGCGCGAGACTCGATCGAATGTGGGCACCCGGACTTCGGCCTCCATCCCCGTAACGGCGACGATGCGTCGGGCACATTGCGCGATCAGAAGTCGTGCTGAGTCGGTTGGACATTCATTTCTCCCTTTTTTTCCGTTCCTCCTTCATCTTATCTACTTCCCTGGAAGAGTAAACGAGGCTCACAGTGCTCGCATTCGCGCCCCGCAATCGGCAATGCCCGCATACACGGCACTGCGCGGCATCGACTACTGACAGCACCGACTAGCGCAACCGCAACCAACCGTGAAACCAATTGCGAGCCGTCGCGTTCGCAGCAGACGATGAAGGACGGCTCTGATAGAAAAAAAAAAGAAGTTGATAGAAAACGAGCAGTCTATTTACATAAATATAAATCGAAAAATCCTATCCATTTTAAACGTGAAATCTGGTTCGTGAATATTAACAAATTTGAATTAAATTTTATATCGAAATCTTATACAAAATCTTATAAAATCCGATAGAATACGATAGATTTCATATCCGATCAATTTTGCGATGCTCGCGTGACGATATCTGTCAACGATAGAAAAGATAGAAAATTATAGAAACTTATAGCAAAACGATACAAATTGATAGAAACCTGTTATTCTTTATAAATTTTTTTTTTAAATACGTCCACCGGATTAACGATCGATGAGTGTCGACGTCACAGGAAACGAAAAAGCCACAGTTTCCGAGACAAAATTCCGCGCATCATAGTTCTAGTCAGGGTGGAAGAAGCAAAGGTGTGTTCTTGTCAGTTCTTGCGCATTTTGGGTGTATTCATTTAGAACGACAACCGCTCACTGAGCCGTTCAGTGAACTCTCATCTGATTGGTCCATATTTTATACCGTATTCGTAGTCCTTCTATGAGGAATGAGGATTTCGTGTTTCTTATTTCACGTTTCATAAACCTTCCTTGACCAAACAAGGAGCCTTAGCTTCCTTTTCTCAAGGAAGGTTACGAGTTTCCTTGAGGAGAAGGTGCATCCTTCATAATTACCAAAGTTCGTCACACCGGTCTTTTTATTTTCGATAGCTTTTAATTTAGATCTGTCGCATCGATATTATTTTTAGATTCAACTGGATTGAAAAACTGCATTTAAGCACTATTCACGTTGCATACAAAATACTATAATACTATTTTTAGATTAAAAAGCATAGAAATATATTCCATGCCATTCTTATAAATGAATAAAAATGCATTTAAGATTGAAAAAAAGATTCATTTCAATATTTATGAATCCGTATTTCTAAAAATCTGAATCCATTTTAATTCGTTTTCAATCCATTCTCGTTTGCTGGGCCATTAGTCATAAATCAGAAGTCAGAAGCTAAAAATTGACCAATCATGGCCATTCTACAATATAAGCCATTAGTCATAAATCAGAAGTTAGACATTGGAAATTGACGACTGTGATTGGTCAATTGCCAGCTTCTAATTTACTTCTGATTTATGACTAATGGCTTATTGTAGAATGCATGTCATAGTCAATTTTTAGCTTCTGACTTCTGATTTATGACTGATATGGTTTATTGTAGAAAACCCATTATAAATATAGGCCCGTATTTCAGAACGCGTTTCTGTCTCTAAAATTCTATAGTATGCGTAACGTAAATTATAGTATGTTAGCTAACATTTTTGTAAGCGTGTTCTACTCAAAAGGAGAAAGTGGCAAACTAATTGGACGGGTAATCACGTGATGCAATTTGCCACTCTCCCTTGGAGTAAAGTCACTAGATATCTAAAATACCGCAAACTCGCATCCATTTTGACGAGAAATGCATTTCAAATTTATGCATTTCTGTATACGTACTTTATTTTGGAAAATAAAGCTGTCAAGTACGTAAGTAAATGTTTTTTAATTGTAATTAATTTATTTATGACCAAAAATATATATAAATTTTTAATTTATGTATTATTTAGTTTAATACAGGTTCATATGTGTTGAGAAGTTTAATGCATGGAAGTGCACGAAGAGACTACGGTACAGTTTAAAAGATGAATCCACATGCTTGAAATCGTGTTCGGCCATTTTGACACGATTTCACGACATTTCTGAAATTATTTGCAGCACATACTTAAGAAATCTAGTGACTTTACCTTTTCAGTCTCTCTAGTCGCGACGCGTCGGCTTGCTTGAGAAACAAAAACGTGATTCGTGCCGCCACCGTTAGATGTCACGCCGGCGCATGGCGGTCTGGCTCGCTGTATGGATGGCCACCATTGTTGAAATACTGATTTGGTTGATGCCCCGACGATTTTGGGGCTGAAAATCGTAAAATCGTCCGTGGCGATAGGGTTTCGTTGCGGTAGGTGCATGAAAGTCTATTGTTACATTCGCGATTGTGTGTATGTGTCTTTTCTATCGTTCCATAATCTATTTCTATGCCGAGTGATCGTGGCCGACGACGATCGGTCCACCTTTCGGGCCTTCGTCGTGTGATCATCGTCGACAACTCGTTGGCGTCTCGGTGGTAGTGCGGTAACGAGATCCCATTGTCGGATCGGGAAAACGCAAGTGAATATTATATTGTGCGCCCGCGCGATTATCGCGCGAACGGCCAAGGGGCCAAGGGGAGCAGAGGCGGATCGCGCGGCGCCGCGCCGCGCCGCGCCGCGCCACGGCGTTCCGTTCCGTTCCGCTCTCGATTCTCTCTCTCTCTCTCTCTCTCTCTCTCTCTCTCTCTCTCTCTCTCTCTCTCTCTCTCTCTCCGTGTGTGCGTCGTTGTGTCGGTACTCGATTGTGTGGTTTTTCGCTGGCGCGATCGGCGCGCAACTCCGTACCCGTACACACCGGATCGCGTTTACGATCTGTGCGCCCGTATAACTCGTGTCAGTGCGATCAACATCAAAACGTGCGTATCATTCTTCCTCCTTCCTGCTCGCCAGAAAGATTTATTCCTTCTTTCCCACCCACCGCCGTAATCGCCGTCGTAATCGTCGTCGTTGCCGCCGGTGGGCAATACGACGCCGTGTGTAACGTACGTGCGTTACGTTCATCTTTCGCGCATCGTGTATATGTGTGTGTGCGCGCGCGCGCATGTGTGTGTGCGCTGTGTATACGTCTGTGTGTACGTCTGATACGTGGATTCGCTGTTGCTGCTATTACCGCTGCCGGTTTATCCCGTCTTGTCGCTGTGATTTACCCGGTGGCTACTCGCGGTATACATATATATACTCGCGGCGGTTATCGTGCTCCATCGTGCACGCCTCGGTCAGCGGTGACACACGGCGGTGCTCCTTCAAAAACGTTCGTCGACACGGGGGTGCGTGGACCACGGGTGCCTCCTTCCTGCGTCTCCCCCTCTTTTTCTCTCCTTTGTCTGTCTCCCCTCGCTCCTTCTCTCTCTCTCTCTCTCTCTCTCTCGCTCTTGTTCGTTCATGACACGTCTTACCCGCGCGTGCATAGGTGTCCGCACGACACGCTATCGATGTGTACGGCCGCGCGAGTGTACAATACGTGTATCTGCACACAGTAAATGTACGGGATAAACGTGTTCGCGGCACCACTGTCGTAGGCTATAGTCTCTCGTATATGCACGCTGCACTCCGTTCTTTCTACTTCGTTTCTCCGTTTCTCTCCTACCCTGTAAACGGCGCGTGTAAGTAAACGCGCGGTGCGTGTCATCGGGATCGCGAGCCGAATTCTCGAAGCATGTGATACCGGGCTGATCATATTATACGTACACAGCACAGAGATCGTTCGTTTTAGCAACGTTGCAGTAACATTGTAAACGTTGCAAGCAATGTTGCACCGCAAGCTTCGTACGTGCTGTACGTCTCCTCTCTCGTGAATGTCACGGCAATAGCGATATTGACGTCCGCGAGGACAACGATGACAACGTGGAACCCAGATCTCGCAGCGGACCGTTAGGCACGATTGCCGTCGCGACTTTTTCCGTTTTTTTCGAAACCTCGTCTACTGTCCTCACCTCATTTTCTCCTTTTCCAACTGTCAAATATGTTGATAATACGATCGCCACGTTACTCCTTCACGAATGTCGACGAGTCGATGATTTGACGGATTTTTTGCGATGTGATGATACGATTTGGAGAAAAAAAAAAGTATCCGACAAAGTGGCAAATCGCAATGGACGCGTCGCGAAATGCGTCGGTCTTTCATCGTGGTTATGCTCGAAAGTGTACATACGAGCTGACGATTCGCCGATACACGTAGTGGATAATAGCTGTTTTGATAGTCGATGTCAATGGGTCGTATGAATAAAAGCAAAGTGAATGTTCTTGACGGAAGGTGGAAGCGTGAGGCGTGTGTGTCTGTGTGTGTATTTAATAGCGAATTCGGTCACTTGCACTATACTGAAAACTGCTGTTCGTGAAATTAGCATGATGGAGTTGAATGTAAAAGTATTTAGGTCCGATTACACCAACGATTACTTTGTTGTACTTTGTTACTTGCGTTAAGCGAGGCTTAAAACTCTTTTTTTTCTCTTTTTAAAGCCGAGAGAAAAAGAGAGGGAGAGGGAGAGAGTTTTAAGCCTTACTTAAAATCGTATTCAAAGTAATGTTGGTGCAATTGGGCTTTTAGACATCTTAAGCAATTAAATACCCAGTAATGATATTATTACATTATTCAACAGAATATACATGTATTATTTTATTGTCAAAGTTAATTATATTATGCTACTGCATTTAGATAAACTTTATAAAGCAGCCTCTAATATATATTAATTTAATAGCAAATTTGCACTAGAACGCACTTTAATTGCATTAAAGCCGTTATTGTATATTGATTTAATTTGAATATAAAAATGAAATTCAAATATTTTTAATTATAACATATATATTTTACTCAGGGTTAAGTTAAAAAGTTAAAAGCTAAGTTAAAAGATTGTAAAGTTAATTAATTTTAACTTAGTTTCGTTGTAGACTCTTAACTTTTTAACTTAATTTACATTTTTTATCGGTAATATTAACTTTTAATTTGATTTTTTTGAAATTAATCTTTTTAGACCCAATGCCAGATAATGAGTACATAATTTAATAATCAACTTTACTAATTAAATTAGATATTTCATTATTTTATCAACTTGTATCTTAAAGTTTCAAGTTAAGTTAATCAGAATAGGGACTGATTTTACTTAATAATACAATAGAATATATAGGGGATTTAATTTGCTTTTATAATTATATTAAATACATATCTTTAATCAATTTGTGAGTGACAGCATCAGTGTTCACAACTAACTCTTCGACTTTTTCTAGTTTTAAGAATAAGAAAAAGATAAAGAGTAAGTTGAACCAAGATTAAAGTTAATATCTATATTCGCTACAAGTAGTGCAAATAATCAAATTCACATTAGAACAAAAGATTGAGATGAGAAAGCGTTATCCTGCGTTTCTTATTCTTATCTAATCGCGGTTCTTTAACTTGTCCTATGGAATATTTGCTGCGTGCCTTGAAGAGTTTGCCTGGAGAGCGTAAATGGTTTAAGTGTTTTGCTGCGTTTCATTCGAGCTGATATTCTTTACCTGTACTTAGACTGCAAGCTGCTAAGTTGTGATCTGTTTTGTTTTGTCTCGCATTGGCGAAAATACTTATTTCCTGAATAAAAATTTCAATCTCACTACACAGGCTACAATATTTTATTTACCGCTTAAATTCCTGTATTCTTATGTCACATATTATATTAGCAGCTTGCTCAAGTCAGCATTTATAATGTCGTGTAAATATTGTGAAGAATTATTAAGTTTTTGTGTAAATTATAGATTTTTGTGAGAATTATATTGTTTTTTATTGCTGCAGTTCTCTTGACTGCACTAGAACTTCTATCAAATTTCAAACCTATATCTATTTCACTTCAAGTACAAAAAGTGTATATTAGTTTAGTTATAAAAACAGACCTTTAACAATTTTTGCGATATATCTAGAGCAGTAAGAGAAATGTTTCTGTTATATGATTACAGAATCTCTACAAACGTCTAAACATATATCGCCAGAAGAAAAGTTTGATAAGTTTCTGGATATAGAGCGATATTACTACTATTGTCAGAGTACAAATGAGAGAAATAAAAGTAGTCCAGATCTACAGTATGGTGTGAGTTATCACGACTCTTCTATTGTTTCCTGCAATGGTAAAATATAATTATTGTGCTATTATTTTGTATATGCTTTTTTGTATATGTTTTACTCTGTATATGTTCTTTAATCGCGACCAAAACGATCGTAAAATTAAATATTTCTATGTTATAAATTATTTCTATGTGTAAATTACAGCGTCATTTATTTCTAATTGTAAAATAAATTCTGATACCAATATTATTGTCTATCGATCTATTGCTTCCTGACACTTTAAATTATACTAGCATGTGTCATTTCGCCTCATAACGCAATAAAATTTGTGGTAAATATAAATTACGATACATTTTTTGTTTCTAGGACTACACATATTTGACGTTGCGCCACAATGGGCGCTACCAAACAATTTTATGCAGTGGATTGATCTGCAAGCATTGGTAGCACATAATACCACGCAGAATATAGATGACTTGTATTACAAAACAAAAGATACCACGGAATCTATTAATTTAAACTTGATATATTCTACAAAGTTATTACCAACGGCACGACACGATGATAGGATAGTGAATTCTAATGTACTAATTGGTACAGTTAATGAATCACTATCCATAAAAACGGGAAACCTGCAGGAGGAACGAAAGAATAGGCTAGATAGCTGCCAGAAGGATTTCGATGAAGAAGCAGACTCTAATTCGCTAAATATCAGTAAAACAACGGAGCTTACATATTTGCTTACAAAAGATAAAACCAAAGTTTCATCTGAATCGCAGAGAGAAATTTGTTACGACGCAAATGTTGGTCTGTTTAGTTGTGCGTCAAAACATTCGATCGACACGCAAAATATTATCGGATTGAAAGTGACATCGGATAATATTCAGCACGGTAAAGAAGCTTGCGACTCTAATTGCATCACTTCTGTAGCAGATAATGAGCCACTTAATTTAGTGATAAATTCAAAAAAATGTTCGCAATGCAGTCATACCTATAGTATAGAGACGAAAAATCAACTCTGCAATTGTCCACATTCGTCAGGTGTCGATAAAGAGACACTTTCAGTAGATGGTGCCATTTTAAGACAATTAAATCATTCCCCTAATGTACAAAGTTTTTATAATGTAAAGTACAAGAAAGTAGATTATGGTTTATTGAAGCTTTCTGATTTAAATGAATTGTCATGTAACTCGAAAAAAGGCGAAGAATTACTGAAAACTATCGGTAAATTGCATGTTGATAGTGATGAAGTAAATGGAACGGTTATAACAAACAGTAATTTGAAACAAGAGAGTGTGTATCAGGACAAATACATTACGCATATATTATCATCACGCTTAAGTGATCGTAAAACGAAATCATTATCTTGGACACATTTACAGTTGAATGTCAAATGTAATAATATTAAGAAAGAATGCTGTAGTGAGGAAGAGGCACACAAGTCAGAAAATATCGATCTAGTGACCGCCTGCAATCCGAGATTAAGCAATTGGGCGTGTTTCGAAATGTCAGGACAGTATCCAGGTCATAGCCGACCACCGGTTGGCACACCTCCACCACAAACTGTCTGGAATCATCTGATGCCGCCGGGTCAAGGTAATTTTAAATTCCAGATATTTAATGCGATATTTTTTCAACGTCATAATAAATTAATCGCGATGATTGCGCTTCTAGCTCTCAATATCCATCCGACGTTATCTGGTGCCTCATTGGGAACAGCCGGGTTCTACACACATCCTTCCATAGCGCGAGCGTCCCATCTACCGTCTCAACTCACTCCACAACTTGCTCACACACAAGCACCGCCGACATGGCATACACCCACGGTTCCCTCGAAGAGCGTCACACCAGCGAACACGCCAGGCAATCCCCTGTTCAGTTTACAAATGTTAGTGGACAATCGGCAAAATCAAAATCAATATAGAAATTCGCCTGGCTCCCAAAACACCTTAGATCTTTCATCTACATCGGAAATTATGGCGGAGAATTACTCTCGGATACCTCAGGATATTCCCATCAGTTTGACCGCGAGAAACGTGGATAAAGGCAATCGAAACGGAAACATAATCTCACCACCTATACCACTTAACGGAGAGACTTCGTCAGATAGCGGAATCAGCTCGTCTGTACCGACGCCAAACTCGGTCAGCGAACCAGTTTCGCTATCGACGAAGGAGATGACCACTCCTAAGATAACGGTGAAAAACTTTGAAAGTAATCTAAAGGGAGTAGCCAATCTTCATGATAAGATTAAAGAAATGAATGTAGATAATTTTACGCAGAAAGTGATAAATTTGCCGCCTAGTGTAACGATAGAGAGGGTGGTTACGGAAAAAAAGGAGTCTGAAGTTTTGAAAGCTAAGGATACGTTGAGTGTTATCGCGCAAGTGCCAAGGAATGTCTTACCTGTTATAGTCAATCTTACATCCAAGATGGAGAAAGACGTTACGGACAGTCCTAAGCGAGAATCCTCTTCTGAGAGGGACAAGAAACATGAGGAAACAAGTGTGAGGTCACCTAAGAATTTGCCGAAGAGGGGCAAAAAAGGTGTTGATTCTTTGTTAGAGAAATTGGAGGGAGGAAATAAGAAACTTGGGAATACTGAGAATATCGGTTCAGTGATCGTGATGCCGATAGAGGAAAAGGATACGTCCAGCGTTAAAAGTATGTCGCCGGAACGACAGAAGTCTAAATCGCCAACTCGGGAGGACGAAGTAGTGTCACCAGCTTTCAGCAACGACGACTCGAATGATAACACTAAGCAACGTAGGAAACGAAAACTAGAGAAACCTGTGAGGCTGAGCAAGGACTCGAAAACAGAGGTCGAGGACATGGAACTTGAGCCCACGGAACCTACGGAACCGAGGACTATTGACCCGTTGTTAGAAGAGACGACTAGTTCTACACTGGCAGCCGATATCAAGACAACAGAGGAGCAGATCACCAGAGAAGCGGAAGAAAGAATATCAAATAAGGTAGCAATAGACGAAATCACCGAGGAAAGATCAGAGGAAAGTCAACCGGTTCGAAGACGAAGTAGTAGCGAGGATACGACTAATAACTTGATATCGACAAATCAGAGGACACGAAGAAAATCCAGTGAGGACGCATCGTCCGAGTTCCCGAAGGTAATGAGCCCAAAGGATACGAGCAATACGACAACGGCAACAAATCCTTTCGTTGAAGTTGAATCGGAACTAGCAAAAATGTTCGCCGGAATCGTGGAAGCGGATCCGGAAGTCAAAAATGAAGAATTAAAAGTGGAACTCGCAAACGCGCAAATCCAAGGTGACAATGCCGCTGTGAAATTCGAAGGTCTCGAAAATAGTATACTACCGATAACAGATTCGCAGAACGTTCAGAGCAATCCCATTGATGTTTCTTCCACGGTGGACACAAAACTGTCGGGGAAAAGAGGTAAGAAGGGCAAAATGCAGGGTGGAAAGAGAAAAATTTCTAGGTCGACGGAGAACATTTTTGGTACGACAGACGATTCTCCGAAAGAGATGAAGAAGAGACGGATGTCCAAAGGCTCGAAGAAGCAGGATCAAGCTTTGAAAAAAACAAAGAAAAATACCAAGATTGATGGTCTGAGGGAGATGGCGTATGATTCTGGTTCGAACGCGAGTTCGATTAGGTCCCGAGGACCAGTGGTTCACGTGGAGGGGCCAAGGGACAGTCCGTTGAGCATCCAAGTAGTTAATGCACCTCGGGAAGAAGAGGAGGAGAAGAGCAAGGAGAAACGGAAAAGCGTCGGCAACGGGAACGGAGGCCGAAGTAAAAGGCTTAGTCATCAAAATGATTTAGATTACAGAGGTACGCTTATGAGATGAGAAATTGTTTCTATAGGTATTCATTTTTAGAATGAGATTTAATTTATCACTTATCCTTGTTATCCACAGGTAAAGTCAGCAGAGCAGGTCTCTTCAGTTCAACATTATCCTCGCGATACGACGCGCACACTACGGATTCGACCTGGATCTGCGTATTTTGTAAACAGGGTCCTCATTCTGTTATACCTGGCGATTCGTCCAGGCCGCATCCGAATTTGGCCGGACCGCATATCGCAACTGGAACTTACACGGTAAATATATATATTCTATCTGAATTTAATGCTTCAAGTAATATATTTAATTTGTGAGGCAAGTAAATATTTAGCACTAAACGCAATAGGCTATTAAATTGGGGTTTAATATTAATCATATCACATCATAAGCATGTTGCAAACGTTGTGATTTAATCAATGTCAAGCTAGCGACTCTACTTGAATCACAGTGCTGCGATACGATTAGTGCAGAAGCAGTTTTAGAAGCGAGTAATTATGTATTAACATTGCGAATAATATGGTAAATGCTTGCATGACAGGTTCCAGCTGGCGTGTTAAGTGACTTATTTGGTCCATATTTAATTGGCAAAGAGCGATTAGAGGATGGAATTTTATCGGCTGATGAACAGGAAATTACGACAGAACAGAAGAAAGGTAGTAAGAACAAGAGGAGCTTGAGGTACGCTGGTCTAGCCGACCAGTTCTCCGCGAAAATGGGCAAGAAGAAGCGAAATTCCGTTGAAAGTAACACAAATGTCATTTTTACGGGTATGACTCTGCATCCCGGCGGGGAGGAACAACGATGGGAGGTGTGGCTTCACGAGCAATGCGCGGTTTGGGCGGCCGGGGTATATATGGCAGGTAAGTCATCAGAATGATGGAAAGATAAGAAAAGCGGTGGAATTGTATAGTTCGAAAGTAATACGCAATATGAAAATTGGGATTGTGTTTGGCAGGTGGTAGAGTGACAGGATTGCAAGAGGCTGTGTGGGACGCCGCTAAATCAGTATGTGACTCCTGCGGCTTGACAGGCGCGAATATTGGTTGCGTGAAACGTGGTTGTAAAGCTGTCTCGCATTATCCATGCGCGCTGACGAAAGGCTGGCACCTCGACACAAATCAGTACATACCTAAGTGTAATCTTCATCGAGTTACGTGAAACTCCGGTGAGTTTATGAGCATAGACTAATATGGAAGTAGATTGTATTTACATTATATCACACTAAGATCCGGCTTTAATTAGATGCACCGAATAATGGGCAATAATGTAAGAAACTAAGTAATATAAATCCGTTTATGACTGAAGATAGCCTTACTAGTTGGTAAGGTATGTTCTAGTTAATAAAGGAGCAAAACATCCTCATGCGATAAAACCAGTCTATATGTAACATAACGAAGTTACATCGCGATCGGAATTTATAGGGAAAAGAGTAATCGATGTAACACCATAAATAGATCAAATTTAAAATATTAAAATATAATATATTGTTTGTTGATTTAATATTCTATTTTTTCTGTTCTAATATAAATCGACTTTCTTATTTAACGATGATTTGGGATCGTGCGATCATAAGATGTTTTGTGATTGCTCCTTGTATTATTTTACGCGTATCTGGAACATGAAAGTATAAGTATGAAAATGTGAAAAAACAGTTATATTAATTTTCCAGATATCAAGTTTAGAATCAATATGCTCGAAAAAAATATCTTCCAATGTACAAGATGTTTAAATGAAAATGATATTAAAAAATTGTTTCTGAGAATTATAAAAAGAAAAAAGATAAATGACAAATGGAAGTTGAAGTAATAGATATCCTTCTTCGTGATTGAATTTAATTTAACTTTTTTGGCCTGTGTGGCCTTGAACAGTGGCCTTTTCGAATTAATATAAAGGCAAGATATAAAATGCAAAATTTTTTTAAATTTTTAATTTATAGAATAACTCACAATATCGCTATTGAAAAACAATGATAATAAATAAAAGTTTGCTTTTTTTACTCATGTTTGTAAAAATCTAAAGATATAGATTTTCTTAACAACATCATGTACGCAGGAATATGCAAACAGGGCATATTGTATTTAATGCTGTCGAATTTGAAATCTGTAAAATTGTGGCAGCCAAAATCGGATGCATATAAATATAGTAAGACGAATAAGTCAGTACCACAAGCGAAAATTAAATATTCTCTTTTCTTTTTCGCAAAAATTGAGCATGGACATGTAAAACAAGTGTTCTCTCATGAATGTAAAAAAAAGAACTGTGTTGCTATATGTTTTATTTTTTTTTTTATTTGTGTTGCTACATGAATTATTAACTCACAGCTATGTACACGATCCACATAAAATCTACATTTTTATTACATTTTGATATTAATATATTTTTGTAGCTGCTTTTCATGTAAATTTTTATTTGATTTTGCGTGTTGTAAACGGGTTGACAATTTCGTAAAGAGAAATATTTTTATACTCGCATCGAGCGAGATTAAAATGAGAACACTTGTAAGACTTTAGTATCGCTGTATCTAATATAATGTAACAAAGAACACATCACATTGCATTCAGTGATACATTTTATATGGCGTCATATTTACTGTCACTTTATCATATTTAATATATATGTACGGTCGTGAAACCGGTGATTCAGATCCAATGTCTCGCATACGGTTTATTGTTAGCGATTAAATTAATAGTTATGGCATTATCATGAAATTTGTAATAATTACTGATTTATATATGTATATTTTATATTAATTTTTTTCATATTAATACGAAAATTTATTATCGTCATCTTTGCTGTCATTATCGTCGTCATCGTTCTCATTGTATTTTATAAGTGTAAGAGAGGCAAATTTTCGCTACGACAAATGTAATAATATTAACAGGTGATTCTCTTACTACATCAGGGAGAACTAGCAAAGATCAAGAAAATTGTATAATAATAATATTACATAGAAAAATACGATGTATATATAATATTAGTTTGCGTAGAAAAAAAGTATATACATATATGTATAATATATATATGTATTATGTGTGTGTATACATATATATGTATTGTGTGTGTATGTATGTATACACATCATATAAAAATTGAGTACATATTGAAAATAGCCGTCACGTCTCCCCACACAGCATAGAATACGATAAGTTAGATGTAATCATTTTTAAATAGTAACTATGTATTCAGAGATGAAGTTATTGAGCGTAAAAAAAAAAGATTCTTTGTACATAGTGCATAGCGACAAATGTAAAAAAAAAAAAAAGATTATCTCTGAGAACATTTTATTTAGAAGCTTAAATCATGTTTTAAAAAAATAATAAAAAGAATGACAAGTTCACACTTCAGAAGAAAAGTATCGTAAAGCCTAATTTTCATTTTTGTGAGACTTTTTCGAGACCGTTTCGATACTCCTTGACATCAAGGTTGGTCTTTATATAAAACAGACGGATACAGCCAAAAAGTACCGCTTAGATGTAATAAGAGAGATATATTGAAATGTAAACCAAACGCTTATAATCTACAATTGTGGGATGAAAGGGAAACAAAAAAATTTTATCTTAGAAGGAGTAATATTGTAATATTATTTGTGATACAAAGAAGCAAAGGAAGAAAGGAAGAAGATAAATTCTGAAGTGAAACGAACGATATATATATATATACATATATATGTAGATACATACATATGTATATATCTGTTCGTTTTTTTTGTCGTCGCGCACACGGCTTTGCGTACATGGAGTTTGCGGCGTGCGTCCCCATGTACAATAGAATTTTTGTAGTATGTCCGTAATATAACGTTGTGTACATTGTCACTTAGGCTCGCCTTGTGAATGAGTAAAAGATCTAAGGTCAGTTACTGCATCACCGAGATATTGTAGAAAGATCCTCTAGGAACCTCTTGATGCATCTCTCGTTTCGTACGCAGAGCCGTGCCCGTCGTAGCGTTGAAGCATGCGTCTTTGTCGCGTTTATTATTATTATTATTATTATTATTATTATTATTTTGACGATTTGTATAAATGAGACGAACTTGCGACTTGTAAATTGCACGAATGAGAGGCGTAGGTGTGAGGCGTCGAGACGAAACTGCGTCAAACAGTGAAACCTGAATATCATGATGCCTAAGTAATTTGTATAAAAAAGAAAGAAAAAAGGAAAGACGAATCTGTAAAGTAAAACAAGAAACTCATGTATGTGGCCGTGAGAAAAAAATAAAACGTGACAGCAACAGTCGCTGTATGGATTGGCAGCAGCAACGGGAAGTATCATCGTTAGGGCGAGAACGAGATTAGGTATCTCTTATTCCTGATCTTCGTATATAACGTATACTTTAAGTCTAATTCGTTTTTTTGTAGCGTTTACTTTTTTTCTTTTTTCTCCTTAGCTTCTTTCGCTCCACTGTATCTCTCTTTCTCCGTTTTTCTTTCTAGCTTTCGTCTGTTTATTCTTTTTCCTTCTTCAGTCGGATAGATGTAATTCTTTTTTTTTTTTTGTGACCTGGTTTAATGTGTAATAATTATTAAGAAAAGATATTGGTTAAACTCTATTTAATAATACAGAATGGCGAAGAAATCGGCGAATTGTATTTGAAGATCAATACAATAATACGATTAAGAGAGAAAAAATATACATCTTTGTGTAATATAAATATAATAAATAATAAAACACGATATGTGCGCGCGCGTGCGCGCGTGTGTATGTGTCAGCTACTATAGATGAAGCTCTCCTAATCATAATCCCGACCGCTGCTGTACCATTCGTAATAACGAAGAAATTTTTTATGGCAATAAGGGTAATTCGCATGAACGAACGTTGTTCATTAATGTAAATTCTTTTATTCAACAGAATATATGTGAATGATTCTTATGGGCTCCGCGCGTAGTTTGTGCAATTCAAAAAATTCGCCCTATATTAACTTTCTTTCGTCAATGCTTTCTGGTTCACAAGTGTTTCTTGCGTTTCCAGGGTATCGGTCATGTAACTTTTTCCCTAAGGCGGAAACGTGTTTTGTAGGTATGTGTATATACACATACATACATAAAAATTTTCACATTTCTGCTCTACAGAAAAAGTTACATGATCGATATCCTGATCCTGAATGAGACTTTGAGAGAGAGAGACACTGCGTGCATCAGGCTTCGATAGATTTCGAATTCAGGGCCGTGAACGTTTCTGGATGGTACATCCGCCTATCTCGTGATTGCAAAAATTGAGTTAAAAGTTATCGCGATTATTTCGTCAAGTATCAGACATATAGGTTTTTAAAGTAAGAATTCGAACACCACTTGTGCCCTACTTCTAATATAGATTATACCTTATAGTTAGGTTTTGTGCATAGACTACAATTAGTTTTCCATCCAAACGAGACTCATAGGCATACTTATGATTGAACTTCACTTGGTAAGTTTTTTCTTAATCTACAAATTAACTTTAATTCCGATTTATCTTTTTATCTTTTTTTTTTTATTCTACACTGAGAGAAAGAATGTAATAAATTTTAATAAATATTTGAATAATATTATCTTATAACATTTACCTACGGTATAAATAAAGATGTTAAATAAAAAAAAGATGACAGTTAAGTGAAATTACATTTAGTAAATATATCCAGCTATATAATACTATTCAAACAAATATTAAAATTTAGCATATTTTTATCACAGTATAAGAATTAGAAAAAGCAAATTAAACAAAGATTAAAGTCAATTTACATTTGCAGAAATAAAGATTAGACAATTTTTGATTGATCGTCATATATTTCAGACTAACTGCGAAGAAATATATAACTGAATGACTTAGGCCCTGCGCACAATAGAAGGAATAAGAAATTAGGAATGAAGAATAAATGATTTCAATCTATCAGAAACCGTGTATTCCGATATATCCGATTTCTGATGGATTAAAATCGTTTATTATTCTTTATTCCTTAAGCTGACTTTTTATATGCAGTTGCGGCAGTAATTCGTTGCTATATTCGTTAAAAATTTTACATGACGCACTTCCGACGCAAAATACATTTTACCACATCTCATCGAAGTTCAACCGAACGCACAACGAACAGCAAAGAATTTGAAATCGAGAAAATATTTTCAAAAAATGTGAAAATTGAGTACATTTACATTGCGTACATACAATGAGTACATTTTTATTAAGATTTGAAGTGATGGGGGATATTTTAAATCCTAAATAATTGAAACCTGAAATAGTTAGATAATTGTCTAAATTGTAACTGCACTAACAGTTGCCATATAATCACAAGTTTTTTATCTTTTTAAGTTTTTCATATTAATTTTCGAACTGAGCAAATAAGAAAAGACATATTTGAGATTAAACTTTGATATATGTGCTGTTGCCGTTATTTCTTTTCATGCGTAGCAAATGCAGCGGAAGTAATTACGAAAAATTTGCATCACGTGACATTTTTGCTGTCGCTGCGTGCTGCGCATGAAAAGGCACCTTTACTCCTGCTATTGTGCGCAGGGGTTTTAAGTCTTGTATCCACGATGTTAGAAATCAATCCGAGACCTCGGATGGAGAAAGAATTGACCAATCGTAATGGTTATGTGATCAAATTGTTCAAATGTGATTTGTTAATTTTTTTCTCTGTCCGAGATCTCGGACTGATTTCTAGCATCTTGGACATCGAACTTTATGCACAAACTTTTTTAATTGCACTTTAAAACTCGTTTTCATATGCGAAATATCAACGTTTTGAAATAGTCAGTCCTACAACCGGAGCATTCCAGTCAAGTACATATAAATAACAATAATACGAGGGAGTAACGATAGCGATAAAACTAACGTGATTTCAATCTATCAGAAACTGTATATTCCGGTGTATCCGATTTCTGATAGGTTAGTACATATATATTCTATCTCTATCGCTATTTACTCGCTATTTATTGCGTCAACTGAAAGCTCGATTTACATAGCACGAAGAACGCGGGTCGCAGGTCGCGACAAGCGTACACCTGCGGCCCGCGTTCTGTGTGCCATGTAAATCGGGCTTAACAGTGCGTGAGAAATTAAAACAAAAACGATTGAAAAAAGTGTTTATAAGTGCGAATGGCGTGAATGCTCCCTGCAGCGTGTGAGCGTGAGCGTTCAAAGCGAACGCATTCGACGCTCGGTCACCGTGACGGAACGCCGGAGATGCCGGAGTATTGGCTGCGAGAGGACGCCGCGAGCGTCGAAAGGCTGATGTGCGCGGAACGTTCACAAGCGCCGCAGTATGCCATCGTACGTCGCGCGGTGTGGTGACGCTCTTTTGCGCCATCGCGAATGTAACGGGACGGGATTACGTGCTCGCGCGGTATCGCCCCCGTGATCTCTCGCCGCCGTAACGGGGAATTATGTTGACTTGGAGAAATGGGTAATTTGACGACGCTGCTAGTGAAGTTCGGTGCCGCGTTCCTCCTCGCCTGTCACGCGGATTATACCTTGGCTCAGGACAACGCATCGGGTAAGAGTTCGATTGTAAGAGGAGGCTCCGCGTTTTCATGTCTCGTGCGACACAATACCGCGTCGCGGGCACACGTGGGGCTGCGCCGCTGTGTGTACACACACACATACACACACACACACACACACACACACACACACACACACTTCGACATGTTTTTTGTTTGTTAATTATCCTCCCAGCAAAACGGGAATGGATTGAAATGGACTAAAATGGATTTAGATTTTCAGAAATACGGATTCATGAATGTTAAAATGAATCCTTTTCAATCCTGAATGCATTTTTATTCATTTATAAGAATTGCATAGAGCATATCTCTCTATGCCTTTCAATCTGAAAATAATATTAGCATTTTCTGTGCATCGTGAATACTACTCAATTCGGAATTGTGTGAATAGGAAGTACAATTTTTTTAATTCAGTTAAATTCAAAAATAATATCAGCAATTTCTGTGCAACGTGATTACTGCTCATTTCAATATTCTCAATATAAAATGCAATTTTTCAATCTAATTGAGTAAAAAAAGTTATTATTTAAAAATGGATCGTAAATGCTACACTTAAATCATTCGGAATTATAAGTAGGACATGTTTCGTTTTAATCCAACTAAGTTAAAAAAAGTTGTAACGTAAAAATAATTGAGTTATGTTCTTTTGTTTCTCTTTGATTAAAAGTAAAATGAACGATCGAATGTGAATAAACTCGCAAGCCAAGTCGAACACAGCCCGAATATTAAGCTAATCACGGCACACGACGTCGGCGAGATTTGATTATCCGACACCCAATGTTGTCTCATAGTAATGTAAATTGTTTATACTTTATTATATTTCCCAGCAAACGAGAATGGATTGAAATAAATTAAAATGGATTCAGGTTTTCAGAAATATTGATTCACGTATGTTAAAATAAATTTCTTTTCAATCCTGAATGCATTTTTATTCATATATAGGAATTGCATGGAGCATATATCTCTATGCCTTTCAGTCTATAATATTAGCTTTTTCTGTGCATTATGAGTACTGTTCAGTTCAAAATTTTCAATAGGAAATGCAGTTTTTTAATCCAATTGAATCTAATTGATTCCAATTGAATCCAATTAAATCCAAAAAAAAGTATTCGCTATTTAAAATTCCGCATTCAGATACAAAAAAATAATAGATCATATATAAATATATATAGAATCAACAATCGATAGTAGAAACATCACAATCTTAATTGTGAAATAGAAGATTTATGAGTTACTAATAACTTGCCAGTACAAATTTGGTACGTAAAGAAGGCAAGGAAGCGGAGGAACGAATGTAGTGGTGTAATATGTAATAAAGGGAGTATTTATTGAAATACTCGGACATGTACGTGTACTAACCTAAGCTCGTAAAAAAAAAGTCATTATTAATTCTTTTAATACGACCTTCTTGGAAAGAAAGCGCAATAGAATTTTGTCCGACTTTCTCACGTAAAGTATATATATATATCTGCACCTCTCGATTACACCATCAATAACAAATCGTCTTGCATACATCATGCAAGATATTACGTTTTCGTAAACGATTACGTAGACACATGCGCATACTCGGTGAAAAATGTGTACATATTTATACACACCAGCGTCGATGTATAACAATACTATAAAGAATGTCGCCGATTTTCAGTGCTCGCGATTTGAAAACTTCCCGTTTCAAATGTTGTAACTTATAACCGATTTTTTAACTGTGCCGTATAAAATATAATTCGTTTCCACCTTGTTCTATCTAAATACGCCGGAACACGTGTTTTGCTTGATGCAAGCTTACCTACCGAGAGTCAATGTAGACATAAAACGAAGAATCAGTTAATTACTTACATTCATTAAACATTATTAACGACTTTTGCCATATTCGGTATGTGCGTTTAGTGTGCTAGGCCTTTTTAAAATTTTGCTTGATCAGTATCTTTTCTTAAAAATTTCTACGATATAATACGCTATTTCGGAGCAAGGCGTCTGGAACGTATTTAAAGGGTTTATTAAAGTTGCAAGCAGACTAAATTACCAAGTATGCTTTATCAGCGAACTATAATTTTAAATTTATGACACACACACACACACACACACACACACACACACACACACACACACACACACACACATATATATATATATATATATATATATACATCTCAAGTCTTAAAAAACACTTAATCTCATTAATTTGAGTCTATTATATAATATATTAGAATTCTTAGCCATTTTCGGCATAAAAAGGTCTTTAAATATGTCAATAAATAGATTAAATCCATTGATTCAAAGAGAAATGAAAAAAGAAGTTTTAATTTCTAGAACGTTAACAATTAAAAATTGCACGGTCGAAAAAGTTAATCAAGTTAAATTATTTCAGACATTAAACTTACAATTTTTTTGCTGAGAACGGCATAGAAACTATCCAAGTAAAGTAACTTTTGGCTTTCCCATGTTAGTAGAAATGTACTTAAAATTCCGTAATTGGTGTCGAAATTCCTTTCTGTTCTTGACATTTAACGTAATTTAAGAAATAAGCAACAACACGAGAGAAATATTAGAGCGCCCCGGGATTCGAATCGAGGCCCCTAGTCTCCTCCATATAAACATCAGTCTTTGCCACAGCCTTGACTCTGATAGTTTCTCTGTTGTGCCCGTTTCCTCTAAATTTCTTACACTAAGTAATAATATTTAATGTTACAGCTTTGTCCTCTTTTAAGCATTTAAATTGTTTCACCGTTTAATACGTGCCTAAATTAAGAGACCTCGCGTTTGTAATAATGTCGAGAGCATCTGAGTGTCACAGCATTTACATATGAATCCTTGTCAATTTCATGAGATGTACAAAACGCGCGATAGAAGCGTATAATCATCTCCAGACTTATTAATTTCATCCTAAATTTGCCATAATTTTTTTGTATTACGACTGAACTTGTATTACTACTTTGACACTGTAGATTTCATAAATTATATACATTCTGATTCTGCGTATCACACGCCTGAAGATGTTCTTTCAGATTTAAAACGCATTCATGAGTAGAACCAGAATATATTAGATTGTTCGGAAAGTAATTTCGTTTTTTTCCCAACAGAGGACTTATTGTATTTTTTCACAGCCAACTTCACACTTAAGCCGCATAATCATTATATATTTTGACAGCTGATATAGCAAGGCTTGCTTGTGAAAAAAGTTCGATTGATTCTACGCAGTAGTTTTTGGTTGGTGCCCTATCAAATATGAAAGTGAAAAGCAGCATTTTCGGCATATTTTACTTTTTTACTATCGAAAAGGTAAAAATGCTGTTCAAGCAAGAAAAAAATTATCCGATGTGTATGGAGAAGATGTATTGACAGAACGCCAGTGCCAAAACTGGTTTGCAAAATTTCGATCCGGCAATTTTGATGTTGAAGATGCACCACGTTCTGGAAGGCCAGTTGAAGCTGATGAAGACACAATAAAGGCATTAATTGATGCAAACCGGCGAATAACAACTCGTGAGATCGCTGAGAGATTAAATTTATCGAATTCGACCGTTCATGATCATTTGAAACGCGTCTGATTGAAAATCGTCTTTCATTTTCATATGAAAAAACGAAATTACTTTCCGAACAACCTAATAGAACCAAAATTCACACAAGAAATGTGTATTTAAGATCCGCTTCGACCGAATATAGAGTTGTTCTTATTTAAAATTTCATTTATATACATATATATTCATATCGATCTCATATCGGTCGCTTCATA